TATCATGAGAAGATGGGATTCTCAGAAAAAGACAGTAATGCTGAGAAAGGTGGAAGGTGTCAGGAAAAGAGGAAGACCTAATATAAAATAGATTGACTCCCCAAAGAGTTTACAAGAGCTAAACAGGACCGCTGAGGACAGGATATTTCGGAGATCACTCATTTATAAGGGAACCTCACTTTGAAGTTGCAAACAAGACAAGCATTTCCATTAGCATTCTTAGTGAGGCAAAGATAGTATAAAATTTGGGATTAAGGCAAATAATCCAGAAGTTAGGGATGTGGTGGCACTGCGGACTAAACCGCAGAAGCCTGTGCTACAGGGTCAGAAGACCAGCAGTCGTAAGATCAAATCCACGCGACGGAGTGAGCTCCTGTCACTTTGTCCCAGCTCCTCACCAACCTAGCAGTACAAAAGCATGCAAATGTGAGTAGATAAATAGGTACCACCTCAGTGGGAAGATAAACGGCATTCCCTAGTCATGCTGGCCACGTGACAACGGAAACTGTCTTCGGACAAGCACTGTCTCTACGGATTGAAAACAGAATGAGAGGGAGAGTCAGACATGACTGGACTAAAAATGTCAAGGGGAACCTTTACCTTTACTAGGAAAGATATGATTGTGAATTCAGATTGAAGTGTGACTAAGCCCCCATTGCCTTGGGGGAGGCCCACAGACCTGCCTGTAGACATAGAGCAAAAGAACATGGAACAAGACAGTGGTGCTTATACCAGCAGGATGGAAGACCATATTTTGGTATCACAGTAGGTTTGGGGATAGAGGTGGAATCAATCACAGCCACACTGGTAGTCATGATGAGTGATTGGGGAAGATGGAATCCTTATTGAAGTGCATTCTCATGGAAAAAGCATCTTTCTACACTTGCCTAAGCAGTCAAGTTTATCTTGCCAAAGGAAGAAGAAAGTTCCACAGTTACCTCCGTCATTCTTAGCAGCAAAAATAAAGTAAGCAAAAAGTAATAAACCAATAGTTATTTGCTGCCATTTCATGACACCTAAGTTCTGCTGTTTGGAATAGCCAGTTTCTTCTCTTTAATAGAAGGGCCACCTCGAGGAGCTGTAAGTCTCTCCTCCCAATAATGTTTACAAGCTCCACACTAAACAGGCCTCCTGCACTGGAGCAAAGAGTCCAGTCCTCTGCTGAAGATATGGCCCCCAACATGGAGAGGGCCCATGTGAACTCATGGAGGTGACTGGCAGGCTAAACGAAATTTCTGTGGCTGAACATCTGTTTTGTAATGCTCTCGCTGCAAAAAGGTTTCTGCTATCTATAGCCTTCCTGAGTGGCAGTCCTAGTTGCTGAACAATTTCCTGGATGTTCTTTGAAATCCAGAGGACAGAGAGGCAACGACCTACAAAAGGCAGAGATGCTGGGGGCAAAATGCAAGGGATGGCCATAGAGCTGGCCCTACCATTAGGAAGAGAGACCTAGAACGTTGGGGCAGCTAATTCTGGGTCCAACTTTATTATTACAGCCTATTTAAGGAAAGCAGGCACTTGGGGATTTTTTTTCAACAGACAAAAATAACTTGCCCAGTTAAATTAAAACAGACATGAACATCTCAGGTAGTAAAAGCACTAATAAAAGGCTGCGTTAAAAATATTGTTTTTATGAATTTCTTTAAAAACTGAGAGGGAAGGCATCTGACAAACGTCTGCTTGAAGCTTTTTCCAGAGGAAAGGGGACTGGAAAAGCAGGGTTCCTTGTTTAAAATCTTTTGGCCTCCTTAGGTCTCACCATTTTCAACATCACGGACTGCAAGGAGCTGGTGGGATGGGTAGCTGTATTATGGGAGAGACATTCCGACCTAAACCAAGGACCTAAACCATTAAGGGCTTCATAGTACATGACCAGCACCAATACAGTGCAATACAAGGCACCTTCATAGATGTTATGAGCTTCCTGCTCAGAAAGAAAGCTCCCAGCTAGCACTGGAGCAAGAACAGCAAGCTTCAATGGAGCCAAGCCCAGCTAAGCCTCAAAGCTTTTCAGTTTAAGCTTTTCTCCCAGAAAAGCTGTCTCCCAACAACTAAGGTGCCCGTAAGATGCAAATACAGTGGTGCCTCGCTAGACAATGATAATCCGTTCCACTGAAATCGCTGTTTAGCAAAATCATTGTCTAGCAAAAATCATTTCCCCATTGGAATGCATTGAAACCTGTTTAATGCGTTCCAATGTTGTCTAGCGAAGATCGGCCATAGGAAAGCCGCTTTGCAAACCACTGATCAGCTGTTTAAATCGCTGTCTTGCGAAGCTTAGGTCCCGAAATCACCTTTTTGTGAGCGTGGAGGGAGCTTTCAAGATCGTCATCTAGCGAAAATCGGTTTGTGAATCAAGGACCAAACATTGTCTAGCAAAATTTCCCCATAGGAATCACTGTTTTGCGAATCGCTATAGCAATCGCAAAAAGCCAATGTCTAGCAAAAAAACTGTCATGTGGGGTAACTGTCTAGCGAGGTACCACTGTAAATATTTATTTATTTATTTATTGGACTTATATACCGCCCCATAGCACTACAAGCACTCTCCGGGTGGTTTACAATTTTTTTTTAATTATACAGGCTACACACTGCCCCCCCAGCAAGCATTTTACCGACCTCGGAAGGATGGAAGGCTGAGTCAACCTTGAGCCGGCTACCTGGGATTTGAACCCCAGGTCGTGAGCACAGTTTTAGCTGCAGTACAGCGTTTTAACCACTGCCCCACGAGGCTCTTTATAATCAAAGATAACTCTCAGAATGGGGAATTATGGGATTTGAGGTCCCAAAAAATCCAAACATCCCACTACATACTAAGCATCACCATGGTAGAAATGAACTTGGGAGCTTTGATTTTAGATCTTATTATTAAGCTGCCTGGATGGCCTTACATAAACTGCTATCAGATCAACATATTGAAGTGCCTTGTATTCCTAGACCTGGGTTGAAAACTACACGGCCATGTGGTCAGGAGGGGCTTTCCTGCAGTCCTCTGATGGGAGGCATTTTGTGCAGCTTCCATGTGGACCAAAAATGGAGACTCTTGCCTGCTGATGTCTTGGTAAGGGTTGAGCATCTTGTATCTCATTTCCTTTTGCAACCAACGGGGTCTTTAAAATATCTCTCAACCCAAAGAGAGTGGATTTTTCCAGGTCAGTATTTTACTAGGGGTAAATATTTTAGGAAAGTCTGGATTATAGTAAACTAAAAGCAGTCATGTTAGGCGCCATGATTAAATGACAGCATTTATTTAAAAACATCTGATTACAAATAAAGGAAAACGAAGCTTTATTTTTACTTATGGCCATGGAAGCTGTTCTTCAGACAGTTAGGAAGGTTGTGTTGCAAATCGTTGCCCACCCACCCCAAACAGAGGAAATACGGGGGGGGGGGCTTTAAACAGTAAATTCCCTTTGTAGCAAAGAGCAGGGAATTTTATGTTACCTTTCTCATAATCTATGTCCTAGTGTACCTCATAGGGAGAATTATAAGAGACAACAGTAATGGAGTGCTGAAGTAAGTGCAGAGGTAGTGATGTCATTTCACATAACTGATGTCTAGTCATTTATAGCACCTTTACCTATTTACTTGGCTGCTTTCCTCATTCTCTTCAGTGAGGCTTACTTCCAGGTAAGTGTGCCTAGAATTCCATGCTGTGCAGTAAACAAATATGGAAGAGCCATGTGGTAGTCATGCTTGAGTGATTTTGTTTTCCTGTGTAAATTATAATTACCTTAATTAATATGCCTTGAACTGTTGTGGCTCCTTCCTAAGGACTCTTAATATTTGTAGTTTGCTCAGGTACTTGGATTTCTGTGTTAGTTGTCTACAGAAGAGGGGGAGTCTCTAGCATAAAGGTTCCTCAGTAGACAAGAAAGTTTTCTAGCAGAAATTCTGAATACCTCACCAGACTACAAATCCTAGGATTTCTTAGGAGGGACCCATGACAGTTAAAGAGGTATCAAACTGATGTAACTATGAAATGCAAATGCACCTTTAAAAGGACAGAAATAGGTCTGCCAGACTTGATTGCTTCTGAAATTGCCATCACCAAAAACACCCAGCAAGTCCATAGCCAGAGATTCAAAAGGAACACAGGCAGTAGCTGTCCTATACTAAGTCAAATCATTGATCCAACTTGTGGGGCTCTCCACACAAGGCTTTGGAAAGAAGTCTTTCCCAACCTTATATGGAAATGCCAAGGACCAAACCTGGGACTGTTTGCCCAAGCAAATCATGTGCTCTAGCACTGAGCTATAGCCTCTTGTCCCCCTTAAGTAAACACTTGTATCGACCAACATGTTCAGTTGGCTGTTCTGTATGATCAACCATTTGTTGAGCATGGAATGTTTCAGAGGTTCTCCCTCAAAAAGCACATTTGTTTGCCACATAGATGATATTACAGTAAATCAGATTTTTCTCACCGTGGGATATAAAGGTTAAATCTTCTCTCTCCTTCTGCCTCCCTTCCTTCTCTCTCTCTCTCTCTCTCTCTTGTAGGGGGAACACAAGAGGAAGCTGAAAACCAAAGCATTGTAAAGGCTTCACGTCCCATTCTGAAGGATGTGGCTTTGAGTTGACATGGACCTTCTAAGACGTGGATCATTTATCTATTTAAATTAATGCTGTCAAACTTCATTAGCAGAATTAACAGAGCTTTGCTATTTTAGCTGACCTTTCCCCTCCCCCCTTCCTCTGGGTCCCAATCTCTTGGCATCACGATGAGCGGCATCCTGTCATACTTGGACCCCCGGAGGATCCAATGGGGTGCCACATGGTACGCCGTGCATTCTCGAATCCTCCGCACCAAACCAGTGGAATCTATGCTGGAAGGGACTGGAACGACCACATCTCATGGCACGAAACTGGCTCAAGTGCTCACTACTGTGGACCTGGTTTCACTAGGCGTTGGAAGCTGTGTTGGTACTGGAATGTATGTGGTCTCTGGCCTGGTGGCAAAGGAGATGGCGGGGCCCGGTGTCATCGTTTCCTTCATCATTGCTGCGGTTGCCTCCATCTTGTCTGGTGAGTATGAACAAAATGTATACATTTTATTTATTCTCCTGTCCTAGTGTACCTCATAGGGAGAATTATAAGAGACAACAGTAATGGAGTGCTGAAGTAAGTGCAGAGGTAGTGATGTCATTTCACATAACTGATGTCTAGTCATTTATAGCACCTTTACCTATTTACTTGGCTGCTTTCCTCATTCTCTTCAGTGAGGCTTACTTCCAGGTAAGTGTGCCTAGAATTCCATGCTGTGCAGTAAACAAATATGGAAGAGCCATGTGGTATTCATGCTTGAGTGATCTCATTTTCCTGTGTCATGCTGTGCACAAATATGGAAGAGCCATGTGGTATTCATGCTTGAGTGATCTCATTTTCCTGTGTAAACAATTACCTTAATTAACATGCCTTGAACTGTTGTGGCTCCTTCCTAAGGACTCTTAATATTTGTAGTTTGCTCAGGTACTTGGATTTCTGTGTTAGTTGTCTACAGAAGAGGGGGAGTCTCTAGCATAAAGGTTCCTCAGTAGACAAGAAAGTTTTCTAGCAGAAATTCTGAATACCTCACCAGACTACAAATCATTACAAGGATGGAAAACGGACAGGCGTGGGGCTACATATGAGCTCCCCAAGGCACCTTTTGTGACACCTGGTATCCCCAACATCCCTTGCTGGGGAAAAGAAAAATCCTCCCCCCAAAAAAAGCATGTGTCGCTACTCCTGGAAGCCTTCCAAAGCTCTTGTTCACCTTTTGAATAGCCCAACAATGTCCCTTGCAGCATTTAACACTAAAAAATCACTGGAAAAAAATCCATTTTTTTCAAAACCTTACAGCCACTTCTGACTTTCTTCTTTCTGTTTTTTTAGCATTTTTGGCCATCCATGGAAGATTGATTGATTGATTGATTTTTTTCCCAACCTTATATGGAAAGGCCAAGGACCCAAACCTGGGACTGTTTGCCCAAGCTAAGCACGTGCTCTACCACTGAGCTATAGCCTCTTGTCCCCCTTATATAAACACTTGTATCGACCAACACAGTCAGTTGACTTTTCTGTATGATCAACCATTTGTTGAGCATGGAATGTTTCGGAGGTTCTCCCTCAAAAAGCACATTTGTTTGCCACATAGATGATATTACAGTAAATCAGATTTTTCTCACCGTGGGATATAAAGGTTAAATCTTCTCTCTCCTTCTGTCTCCCTTCCTTCTCTCTCTCTCTCTCTCTTCAATTCCAGAAAGAAAAACTGGCCACCAGATCCACCAAAGTTGCCTGCTTATGCTTTGCTACCTCTCTACTAGTTAGTAATTAAAGTCTCAGTTCTAGGCACCATGTATTCCTCCAACCCCAATCCTGCTGTTGAATTCAGGATTTGATCCTCTTCAAGTCATGAGGACGCAGCTGTGTTGTCCATAAAACAAAAATTGAAATCCATATAAGTTCAATATCTTTGCTAGGCTAGCAACAACAAAAAGCACAAAATTGTTTACATGCCTTCAGGATAACCAGATTCCTTTATCGAAGTGCTGCAAGTGGCAGTGAGGACAAGAAAATGGGGAAGACAAGAAGAATGAATTATAGGGCCCCTGCAGTTCTCATAGGTCCGCAACACCTTCCCCATCATCTGCTAGTTTTCCAGATGTATAGTTTTTTCCTTCCAAAAGGCTGAATGCTCAAGTTAACTATATCTAAGCCTCCATTAACTGGCAATAAGAACATTCCGCTCAAATATGTTGGTAGTTTTGCTCTCCCAATAGTTATTAACTATTACATTTAAGTAGAACCACTATGTATAGCAGTGGTTCCCAATATTGGGTCCCCAGAAGTTCTTGGACTACAACTCCCAGAAATCCTGACCAGCACAGCTAGTGGGGAAGGCTTTGGGAGTTTTAGCCCAAGAACATCTTGGAACCGAAGGCTGGAAACCACTGGTGTATAGAAAGCATGTCCAACTAAATATGAACACAAGGAACAAAAAACCAGGGAAAGAACAACAGAATTTGTTCTCTGGGGTGAAAATGTATGTAAGATTAGTGGGCCTTTGATCCAGTCTAGAGCTTGGAAAACTTATTTGCTTGGCTGGCTGGCCAACAGAGGATTCCAGGAGTTGTAATACAGAAAGTAATTTTTTCAAGATCTGCTCCACTTGATGGACCGTGAAGATCTACTTTAAAAAAAAAAACAGAACCTAGAAGCTTTAAGCCTGCCTACACTTGGCTCTGAAAGCAAAAACAGTGAGCTATACAAAAGATATTCATAATTTATGCTGGCTTGGAGATCTGAGAAGATCTGGTACCACAAAGTCACTTTTCCTGGCTTAGGCCTAATCCATCAATACAGCTTTATATTTAATTACCGGCTCTACTTAACATTCAAACCATGCTTCATATATTTTTTAAGACTTGTGAGGAATAGGAAGAAGTAAACAAGAATAAAACAGAAATTACTGAATCCTGGCTTCTTTGATTGAATTTAGCCAAGGGTATGAATTGATCTATGCATTTTGCGTGAGCCTGTTTACTGCTGGCACTTGTCCTTCACAGTTCAATGACAGCAAGCAGACAAAATGTTCCTATGCAAACCATTGAAAAGAGCATTCCGCTTGTCTTTTCTTTGTTCATATCAGAAGCACCACAGTAGAGTTAATGAACAGATCTGATTAATTTTGCCCGAGAGCAGGTAACATCAAGGAGTTAATGAACAGATCTGATAATTTTGCCCGAGAGCAGGTAACATCAAGAGTATTTGGGGCAGCTGACATCCATCTTCCATGGTACATGTTGTGGTGCACAGAGTACACTGACATAGGTGTGGAGGTGCCTGGTCTTCTCTGCACTTGCAAAGGACTGTGTTAGTGTAAAGCTCCCAGGTTCATTTTGGTTTTGCCAGCTCCAGTTTATACCCTAGTAAGTGACTTCCAAGTGACCCACTTGTGATCAGGGACTCGACTTTCCTGGGTTTCTATCTATGTTAAGAGATGGGCAGTATTTCTTTTTGCATTATAGTTTTGACATACTACTCTTTTTTTCCAAGTGACCCACTTTTCCATGTGATCCGGGACTCGACTTTCCTGGGTTTCCATCTATTTTAAGAGATGGGCAGTATTTCTTTCTGCATTATAGTTTTGACATACTACTCTTTTAAGATTCACAGATGTTCTGAAAAAAACCTTCATTTTCATGTAGGAGAGGCAGGATGGTAACTGAAGAGTGGATATGATTTTGGCATAGATGCTTTGAGTCTTTCACTGTTAGCTGCTACTTCATTCTGTGTGTCACTGGATGCAGTGCTTGCTTGATAACTGATTTGATCAATAGGAGGTGGCCTCAGGCATCCAGTAAGGATTCTCCAGCTTTCATTGAGAGCTGCATCTACCTATTTTGCATGGGCTGAACTATACCACATTTGGCTGGTGTATTCACTTGCAGAGCAACATAGGGCCAAGGCTGTAGTTCTCACAGTTTGTGGTTGTGTGCTCCAACTGGATCCTGAAAGCTTTTCAGGAATATTGTTCCTTGCACAGACTTTGAACAATATTTGAAGAATCTTGTTCCTTGCTTTGTCTTTTGGATATGTTTCTTATAGGTCAGAATAAGATTAAAAACAAGACCTAAGAGGGTAAAACCATAACCTAGTTGGATGTCTTTCCAGGTAACCTGACATTTCCAAGATGTGTCTTCTTGTTTCTTAGAAGGAAAGCACATCTTTGATTCTTAGCAGAGCTAGGTCTCAAGTTGATGTCTATCATAATAGATGAAATCCTGTTGCTTAGTGTAGTGAGTTGCACTAGAGTAGGCCAATTGAATCAGTGGAGATTTGTTGAGGTAAGTCCTCAGTAAGCTCTGTTGATTCAAACTGACTATTCTAGTTACAGCATACTAGAGTATGCTAAAGTAAGTCACGGCTTGAATCAATGGCATTTATGTAGTAGTAATGTAAATCATCATCATTTTAAGCCAATAGGAACAGACACAATGAGCTACCTGCTAGCTAAAAATCTTGCGGCAATTTCTAAAGAAGCAGCCATGTTAGTCTGGTTAAGCATGTTGTCAAAAGGAGAAATTGGAGGCAGGGGGGAAAAATATTGCAGCACTTTAAAGATTAACAGTTTTGTTTTAGTGTGGGCTGTCATGGATCAAAACCTACAAAACTATTTGAGGAAGTGGATTTTGATCCTCAAACACTGACATGGCAATCAAACTGCTAGACTTTAAAGTGCTACAATATTTTGTCTTTTTAAAAAAATTCTTTGGCCTGCAGGCTAAAATTCGTGATCTCCCTGGAGATTTAAGAAAAGTGCTGCTGAATAATAATATGATGAATAAATATGGTGCATAATATTTACTGCTTACGAGAAGTCCAAAAAGGTTGCACTCAGGCAGCCCTTCATTCCTCCTGGCAGAACAAACATCTGTCATCAGAGCAGCTGGCATGCAGAATCTGCGGCGCCGCCCAGCTTGCTGCTGCTGACAAGGGAGGACCGGGTTTTTGGCTCATGGTATCATGTAGGACTTGCTTCGCTCCGGCTATGTTTAGTCAAACCAATCAACGGTAGTGGGGTGCAATTTGTAGCCTGCATAATTAAACTGAAAACCACACAGAGACTGCTTTAAGCACTGTGGGGTGGTATATAAGCAGCACACTTTGCTCCTTCTCTTCTTGGTTGTGTTACAAAGTGCACAAATCGAAGTAACAAAGGAAAGTGGGCAGTTGTGCTTCCTTTGTCACTGGCCACGAACACGTACCAGGAAGGTCAGGAATAGAAACAGAGGAAACTAACTGGCTGATAGGGATTCCGACTATTAGTCCATCTGGTTACGTCCTGCTTACCGTGATTGGCCACGGCTTCCCAGGATGTCAGCCAGGATTTCCACAGCTCTACCTGGGACTCATGCAAGTAGGCTGTGGGCTCATCAATATGCAAACGATCAGGTGTGGAATGGAATTACAGCTCATTCCTTAGATTTGAGAATTGATTAGGGAATTTGTGACATCTTAGAGAAAGAAAAGAAGTCATC